CCAAAACTGCAGAATAAAAGTACTGTAAAGGATAAACAACCAGAGAACAGGCCCTGGGGAGAGGGCCATAAGTTCCAATCTACAATCCAGCAGGGGACCAGAGTCCTGAGGGGCAGAGTGCTGGGGGTGGGGCACAGGAGCACAGTTCAGGCCTTCACTTCTTACTTCTTTCCTTACTGTATGCAGAGTCTCCTAGAAACTGGAAGGGTCTTAACCATCATCTAATCCAGGCTTCTTAAGGCCAAGAGGAGTTAAAGAACTTGATCCAAGATACAAGTTGGTAAGGGATCAAGGCAAAATTGGGTCCAGGTTTCCTGGCCAGCAGTAGCCTCCGTGACGGGAAGCAAGGATCTCTAGCTTGGAACAGCCACCTGCTCTGGTTTCCTAGGACCCAGTCGTGGATAAAGTCGACCCATGTTCTGTTATTTTGGCTCCTGGACTGGGTTTTCTCGGGTCCTATTTCCCTATATCTCATTTAGCTTTTGCAATGATACTGAATTGTACATTTTCATTGTACACTCACTATAAGAGTTTCATTTGCGCCACAGCTTAGCAGATGTTTATTGATCACTTATGACATACCAGCTGTAGACACAGCTATAGGCTCAGAATGGGACTATGGTCATGTGGCCTTTACACTCTGGTGAACACAGTTTTACATAAACACATATATGCATTTGGACATGGTAGAGCACAAAAATAAATGCAGTGCTTTTTCATATTAAGCTAGAGTGACTGTATCCAGTTACTTGAGAGGTTCTTTTTTTGCAGTAGTATTTGAATTCCTAGGGTCAGTTTTTTAAAATTCTTATTTTTACTTCAATTGACACATTGTAATTTCATGTATTTATGGGGTACAGTGTGATAATTCAGTACATGTGTATAATATGTAATGATCAAATTGAGATAAAGTTTCTTAAAAAAATAGTTCTAGAATAGTGTTGAGTTTATAAAAAGTGGGTAAAGATAGTATAGAAAATTTCTCCATATTCCATGCCATTTCTCCTATTTTAGGGGTCCACTTGTTAGGACTAACAAATCAATGTTGATACAGAGTTTTGCCTAAATTCCATATTTCATGCATTTTTTTTTCTTAGCTCTTACTTAGTGATCCCATCCAGAACCAGATTCAGTCATGGTGTCTCCTTTGTTCCTCCTGGATGGTGGYGGTTTCTTAGCATTCCCTTAGTGTTGATTCAGGATGGCCTCAGTTTGCCTGACCTTCTTCCAGAAGGCCTTGGGAGTAGGGTCCTTCTGTCCTCAGCCTTGCTCTTTGGCTGTGGTGGTCTTTGCCTTCACAGTAGAGTTGCTCTTCCCTCCCTGAACTCTGGGGAAGGAAGTCACCATGCAACAGTTCATGTCTCAGGACGGGGCCTTAGGGTTTCCACTATCTCCTGGAGGGAGTCATGTCTGTGTAAATTATTTGTTTTTTTTAGTGAGAAATTGGTTTATTGTCCATTTCATTTTTATTTTTATGTTACTAGGGATAGAACCCAGGGGTGCTTTACCACTGACATCGCCTTTTCTTATTTTGAGACAGAGTCTTGCTAGGTTGCCCAGGCTGGCCTTGAACCTGTGATCCTCCTGCCTCAGCCTTCTGAGTCACTGGGATTACAGGTGTGTGCTACTGCACCGGTTCTCCACCTACTGTTTTTTAATCTAMTCACTTATTGGTGTGTATTCAGGGACTCTTTCCATTATGATCTGGTGTCGTGTTCTTCCCTTGCTGCTCTGGTGGCTGTAGTGTGGCCGTTGGAGGTCTGGTTGGCTCCTGAGCCCTCTGACAGAACCCTGTCCAGGTGTTTCCTTCAAGGCCTTCATGGTGTGGCCCGTGTGATGCTGCAGTCCCATTACACTTCCTACTCCAGCCTAGAAGGAGCCCTTTCTCCCAGCAGGCCGGCTCCTTTTTGTGCTTGTTGGCACCCAGGTCTTTGCTCAAGCCCTGTCAGCTGGCCGTGCGGGAAGCATGTGCACAGCTGTGCACCTATCCTCAGAGGCTCCTGCGTCCCACCTCTGGATCTGTGTGAACTGAACGCCAGTTGGCTCTTCCTCACGTCTTCAACCCCAGTCCATTAGTGCCCGTTAGGACTTTGGCAGTTGCCACCAGCTCTTAGGATCAGGTTTTCATATGTATAAGTGACATCACTTAATTTTCTTGTTGAAATTTCAAGTATAGTGGGCTGGGGTTGTGGCTCAGTGGTAGAGCGCTTGCCTAGCATGTGTGAGGCACTGGGTTCGATCCTCAGCACCACATAAAAATAAATAAAATAAAGGTACATAACAAACTAAAAAATATTTAAAAAATGGAAATTTCAAAGTATACACTTACTAGAAAAACCAGATCAAACTAAATTATTAAGTGTTAGGTATACTTTCTCATATTAGGTTCTTCTTTATTCAGATACCCAATACCAAGGGGTTGAACTCCCAGTACCATCTTAAAATCATTTTCAGTGTTAACAAAGGATTATTGGGCCCCTTCTAGGACTCTGAGCTGAGCTGGTCATGTGGACAGACTCTGGGGAAACTTTGAGGTGTTGCCTACAACTAAAACAAGGACCTTGGAGCTGGGGTTGGGGCTCAGAGGTAGAGTGCTCACCTCACATGTGCAAGACCCTGGGTTCAATTCTCAGTACCACATAAAAATAAATAAGTGAAATAAAGGTATTGTGTCCAACTACAACTAAAAAATAAAATGTTAAGGAAAAACAAAACCAAGGATCTCCACATTCCTTTTGGGGTTCCTTCCCTTTTAGGCTTAAGAATAATGGTGCATTGGTATTACAGTTCATAACACATTTTCTAGCATGCCCAATTCATGAGTACTTGTCAACATTCAGTTAGCATTAGTGAGAGGGGAAGAAGGCTAAGGGTGTATCTGTAGACAGTAGGTGCTCGGTAAGTGCTCATCTGCTTTGGACATGTAATATTCATCTGAAGATGTGCAGAATGGATTCCTGCTCCTTCTGTAAGATCTTTTCCACCCGTGGCCATGCCCTTCTCAGCCAATGGCCAGTCTAATGTTTAGGCACAGGGACTTCAGTGCCACTCATGACTTGTGTTTCTCTCACACTGCACTTTCCCTCTGTCAGGAGACCCTTTCACTCTATCTTCCAGATCCAGAAGTTCCTTACACCTCTGTGGCCACCACCCCCACCTAAGCCTCCCTGCTCTCTGCCTGTGTTGGATTGCCCCTGGCCTCTATTTTGGCCCCCTGTGGTTTTGGTGGTGAGGGTAATCCTCACCACCATCAGTTCATGGCACTTTCCTTCTCCAAAGCCCAGCAGCTTTCCTTTTCCCACGGATCTTCTAAACTCATTGGCTGCTGTTCCCATCTTCCAGCCCTCTGCTTCCTCTGGTCCAACGTGCTGCCCACAGGCTCTTCAGGTGTGGAGTGTACGAAGTGGTCAGCAGCCATGAATTAAGGGATCCCCAGTTCTCAGGCCCACATAAAACCAGGTCTTGAAAGCAAGGCACATGCTGTGGCAGGCCCTCAGAGGCCACTCACCCACCTCTCTTCAGTGCTCCTCTGAGACCTCCATTTTCTTAAGTTTGAAATGGTGAGCAAACCCTGTGACGAGGAAAAGAGCTCTGTGCATGTGTTAGAGGGTCAGAGAATCACATCGCATAGTCAGCTCACAGGGACACTGAGGCGGCAGCCACTCAGGACTGTGGAGACTTAGAAGGCAGAGGCTGAAAACTGCATTTTCATTGGACCACTTTTCTTGAGATGTTGGCTCTATTACACATTAAAAAATAATGCAGTTTGTTATTAAGTATGAAATACTTGTTTAGTGAATTTACTGAGTAAGTTTACATTGTGGACAAAGTACAGATGAAAATTTCCCTTCCCTCCACTGATTTTTTCAGAGGTACAACTAGCTTTTGTAAACTAAAAACAGTTTGTTGGTTAGTTCCTGGTATTGTTTCTTTTCTCTGAAATACTAGAAACTGGCTCAAAAGGCAAACGTGACTGGCAGGGTGAGAACTTAGGCCAAAAATTGTAGGGAGTGCCATCCAGCAAGGGGGACCTCCAGGAAGTAGACAGCAGAGTGAGCATGTGACTGGGAGATGCTGTTAAGTCCCCCTCTGGGGAATGCCTGCGAGGCTCAGTGCTGACCTGTCACAGTATTTTATAACTTCTATGACTTTGCTTTCTTTTTTTATTTCACTTTTATTCATGATCCTAAACCTGGAGTAAACAAAGGGGAAGACATTTAATCAATGACACAGAAAATAACAAACTAACAAATTGACTTCAGTTTACACAAAATGCATCTATTCGTCTGTTTCCTGTTGCTATGGTGAAATACCTGGGGCTGGGTATTCATAAAGAAAGGAGGAGTATTTGGCCTCCTCTGCTGGAGGCTAGAGTCCTGGGCTCCTCAGTGTGCTTCTTGCCACTGGGCGTGTCCCTCCTTGGGCATCCTGTCTGTTTTGTATGAGGGAGTTTGGGCCTGAACAGTGTGGTTCCTGTTCCATCCGAGTGGTCTTGCAGCTACCCCTCACCTTTTATTTCGGGAGGAAAGGACAGGTCCTTGAACTCATCCCCTTGCAGAAATGTGCTGGCTGCGCCTTGCTGACAGTCTGCGTCCTGACCTGTGTGCCCTGCAGAGCTGGCTCTGACACAGTTTGGCCTACTGAGTCTTGCTCCCTTGACTGCCCTGCTGAACCCAACCAAGTCCACTGCTGCTGGCTGGACAGACAAGACACTATCCTATCATGAATATTCAACATGAAAAAATAATAACAAGTAATTCTTCCTTTATTTTTCAGAAATGTGTTACGGACGAGTGTTTCTTTTTTGAACGACTGGAATCAAATAACTACAATACTTACCGGTCAAGGAAATACTCCAGTTGGTATGTGGCCCTGAAACGAACAGGGCAGTATAAACTTGGATCCAAAACAGGACCTGGGCAGAAAGCTATACTTTTTCTTCCAATGTCTGCTAAGAGCTGATCTTAATGGCATAATCTATCTCATTTCACAAGAAAGAAGGAAGCCATATTTTAGAATCTGTTAAGAGAAAAAAAATTATATACAGCACGGTTTAGATAACGTGTCAGATAGCTTTTTATCTAATATTTAACCATTGCCTCAGTAAAGAAACACAACAAACAATTATAGAAAATGTGTAAACTTTCCCCTTTTATATAGCATCTGCTGTTACTCAATGAAGATTACCTAGATTATGTTTTTCTTACATTTATATTATTTGAAAAGATTTTGAAGTGTCTTTACATGTGAATTTAAAACAAGGAAATCATAGGCATTAGAAAATTACCATCAAATATTTAATAATCCCAAGTGTTCATGACATTTTATTATCTGGCATATATTAATCAACATTGACAATTTCCTTAAAATTTTCAACCCACGTCGGTGTGGATTCAGTGCGCTCCTGTCACAGTGCACACTTCTCTGGCAGTTCCCTGTGATAGAGCTTATAGAGCAGGCCTGTAGACGCTGCCGGAAGCTTCTCCATGGTGAGGTCTACCTTGTCAAACCCTTCTCTGTGCCCGTAGAGCAGCAGCCTGGCCACTCTGCTGGTGATGGGAGTTGTGTTTCCAGCCCTGACCAGGTCCACCAGGTCCATCCACTCGCACCTGAGACACTCCTGCGGGCAGCAGTTGATGGTGAAGGAATGTGGCTGGAGGCGGCAGATGATGTACATATCTGACTTCCCGAAGGCTGTGGGAAGGCTGTGCTGCTGTCGAATACTCAGGAGGGACCTGAATTCTGACTTTATACCAGTCTCTTCAAAAACTTCTCGAACTGCTGTATCTCCTACATAATACAGATGTGCAGATTGTAAGGATCACCATTTTAGACACATCATCTTTGAAGATTTGTAGTTAAAATCTCAAAGTCCAGAAGCAAAACCTTTGGTTGGCTGTTTTCAATACTAACTCTAACTTCTGGATGTCCTGAAATACCAAAATTATTTCACTACTTTACACCTGAGATGCTTTTGATATATTGACTATTTCTTTGGCTGGTTGCTAACTAGAGGCTTATTCACTTTTTTTTTTAGGGTTACATCTTTTTAACCTCTTCCTGCTCTGTTTCCCAAAAGGTAAAAGCATAGGTTGCAAAAGTTAAAACATGTTGCAAAGGTGCAGATAATACTTGGATATATATCTTCATTATTATCTTCTTCCTGATTGTCCATGAAAGCTGCCTAAACTTACATATTGCAGAACTGAGCAGAAGTGGTCTGTTCTTCCCTAAAAGTCCACAGAGCTGAAAAATGGGTCAAGTGAACTATGAAATGTCTGATTTCTCCTGGTGATCCCAGGTGGGACTGTCAAGCCTCTGGTTACCGAGCAAATGCCTTGTGACCATTTTGTTATGCTTCTACAGTAATGTGGCAGTGAGATCCCACTGCAGGAAATTTTGGCATTGCCTTTGTTTCATGAGATAAGACTTCAAAGAGCTTGGTCTCAGTCCTTTAATACCAAAAGGCAATAGATGTTCATCAGTTTTCAAAAGGCTAGGGATACATAAAATGTATCATATAGCCAGATATGGTGGTGTGCGCCTGTGATCCCAGCAACTGGGGAGGCTAAGGCAGGAGGATCCCAAGTTTGAGGCCAGCCTCAGCAACTTAGCAAGTCCCTTTCTCAAAATAAAAAAGAACTGTGGGGCTGGGGTTGTGGCTCAGCGGTAGAGCACTTGTCTAGCACGGGTGAGGTCCTGGGTTCGATCCTCAGCACCACATAAAAATAAATAAAGGATATTATATCCAACTACAACTAAAAAAAATAAATATTTAAACAAAAATAAAATAAAAAGAACTGGGGAATGTGGCTCAGTGGTAAAACACCCCTGTGTTTGATCCCCAGTACTAAATATATAAATAAACTACATTAAAAATTTATAACATAATAAGGGTCTTCATATTCTAGAAAGTTAATTTTTCAATTAAATGCAAAATTTCTGTGGCAGGATTTTTATTACTATTACCATATTTTTGTGGTGTGTTTCCTGAAAATCCTGAAAGACCACCTAAATGGGTTTCACCCAGCTTTGTGATGTTCTGTCATTGTCTCTGGAAGCATCCATGAGAAGCCCTTAAAGAGCTGCCTTCCTTGACGGCTTCTCTGGGAGGCTCACTTGCCAGACAGGCTGTTGTTCACACACCTTGAAGTGCCTTCACTATGTGGTCAGTGACTTTGCCTTCTTAGTAACTCTTTTGGTAAAAAACAGCAAGGAAGAGGAAGCTGTGAAGAGCAGGCCCCCCTGCTGCTCTGGTCCTCTGCTCCTCTTCAGTGCCCTGGATGTGCTCCCCACAGGAAGCACAGGAAGAGTAGGGCCTTCTCAAGTTAACCTATGACTTCCCATACTGAGATCTGCCCATAGTCTCAGCTTGACTAGTTTTACATTTTAAAACTGAAACCACTGAGGCGGGGGTTGTGGCTCACTGGTAGAGTGCTTGGCTGGCACGTGCAAGGCCCTGGGTTCAGTCCCCAGCACTGCAGGGAGAAGAATGTGGAGGTGGTGGGGTTACAACTGAAGGCGTAGAAGAATAATCTAGGTTAAAAAAAATTCCTTAGTATGAAATTTTTATCTGTATACAGTATATATTTGTTATTAAAGTGATTATTAAAGTTGGTGGCACTGGTCTTAAAATTTTAGATAATGCCCCTAACTCTTGTTCATATCTGTACTTTTATTCTTTAAATGCTCTGAAAAATATCCTGGGGACTCTGTCTAGCTCCTAGTAGCACTAATAAGAAGCTGGGTACTGAGCTCATGAGTTCAGGCCGTCTGCAGGCCCAGGAAACACAGGGCAGGGTGCTGAGCAGGCTGTCCTGCTTGAAGTCAGTCAGCACTGCCTGGAGAGTTCTGACCAGTCTCACAGTAGTACCATCACTGACCACTTCTGAAAATGGAAGGGCAAACAAGTGCTTCCACCTCTGGACTTTTGGAGACCCCTTCCACCTCAAGATGAAAATCTCTTCCTCAAGGATTTTCAACATGAATTTAATTTTTTTTTTATCAAGATCAAGTGACTTGTTCTGTTGTGCCTTTAAAGTTATTTTAATATACTGTAACCTCAACTGAAGTAAGATATACTATTTGACAAGTGTGAAGAACATAGGAAAAACTAGTAAGCTTTTGTTTTTATTTTTGCTGATTAAGAGATGTGCGTAGCTGGGCGTGGTGGTGCATGCCTGTAATCCCAGCAACTTGGGAGGCAAGGCAGGAAGATCACAAGTTCAAAGCCAGCCTCAGCAATTTAATGAGACCCTGTTCAAAATTAAAAATAAAAAAGGTCTGGGGATGTGGCTCAGTGGTTAAGTGCCCCTGAGTTCAATCCTTGGTACCGGAAAAAAAAAAAAAAAAAAGGAAAAAAAAGAGATGTGTTTCAATATGTCATCGTAATGTTTTGTTATTTAATTACAGGACAGTGATGAAATGGAGTTTATACTTGTTATTTCTAAATTGTAATATTTAATAATAGGGCGAGGTTGAACTGAAATGAAGTAATAGGAAGAATTCTGTGGAATGTGGGCTTTCATGGCTCTGGTGCACTGATATCTTTGTGACTACAGATCGACAGAGGAGATGGCATTCCCAGGATGGCAGTGTGTTTTAACTTCACAGATGCCTTTATACCACAGCCTGGAGGACTGCATTCTACTTTGTATATGGCCCTCTTACTTTCTGAAACACTACAGAGAACTCTGTTTGCCTCACGTAGTATCATCAAAGAATGAAAGATTCCAAACAAACACATTTCCCAGTTAATCAGTGTATTTACTGGGACTCAACAAAGAGTCCAGTCTGGAGCCAACAGAAGTGCTTGTGTGTATGTGTGATGGAAGTATTCCTACAGTATGTTACTTTCCTGAATGTAGGGTTTAAAGAAAATAATCTRCATAATGTTTGGATGATTTGGCTTCATTATCAAGAATATTCTCTTGTACTGTTAGAAAACAGAAATACCCTCACACAGACATCTTTCAGACCTCTACTGTCAGGGGTCATTTCTAGCTGCTCTTGGGTTTTATCACATAGCTTAATTTATACTACACCCAGGTAGGAAGGTGAATGACAGTTGCTGCTTTTTTTCTTATTCCACATGACTGAGGTATGTGTATAATCTCTGGATGGTGGAGTGTGATAACCACAAATACTTTTGAAAAGTGCATTTTTAATTATCTTGACTTAAAGGTTCTGGATTATACTTAAACCTAAACTTAATGTATTTAGCTTAGAAATGTGTATTTCTTCATTTATATTTATATGTAAGTCTGACATTCAAAGGATCCATGAAAGTTCAAAGGAAAAAAAATGGATTCATTTGTGAAGGCAAGCCTCAGAAGGGGAAGCCACAGAGGCTCCCCGACGTCCCCCAATGGCCAGGATAAGAATGCAGGGCGTGGCTTCCCTAGTTCCCACCATGCCCAGGCCTCACGTGGATGGTGATCAGATGAGGGTAGCCTCGCCGAGTAAATGGCCTTCTCTTTTAGTGCTCACTCCTCAACAAAATACTCCTATACCACCAGCACACCTAGCAGAACCTAAGCAAAAGGTCAGTAAGTTCTCCAACCCAAGATCTGCTGTAGACACCCCTGAGTGTGATCAGTTCACTGGAAGATTGTTAGGAGTTGGCTATACAAGGCATAGAGGGCATTCTGATCCGTAATAACACTTAAAAATCAAGTTTCAAGAACACACACATTGTAATTTTTATAGTAATGGGGATTTAACCTGGGGTGCTCTACCCCTGAGCCACATCCCCAGACCTTTTTATTTTTTATTTCGAGACAGTTGCTTAGGGCCTTGCTAAAATGCTAAAGCTGACCTCAAGCTTGAGAACTTCCTGTCTCAGCTTCTAGAGTCGCTGGGATTATAGGTGTACATCACTATGCCTTGACTTTAAATAAAAGTAAGTTCAGTAAATTGCCATAATGTATTCTTGACTAAAGAGAATAGGGGACGTGCATGTTAAGGAAGAGGTCTTGGAGAAATAATGTTAGTATCAAATGAAATTTTTAGTGATTAGGATGACACTGAATTTGATCCAATGGCTTAAGCATAGACAAGAAAATTATTTTTATTCTTTTGTTTCCTATAAATTAGTGGCATAGAGAATTCTCAGATTAGTTCCTATTTCTCTGTGTTAAATGTTGAGCTCAGTAAGTTATTTTAGGAAGCTATTTCTCATTTGAGACTTTCTCATGATATTTTACTCTTCTGGCTTCCTACGTACTCAAAATAAATAGTAGATAAAATTCTTATAAAGAGAAGAATTACATCATTTTAGCTCTATAACTGACTTTATTATATTGATTCAATGTTAAATTTAAGTTATTATTCACCTTTCTGTGATATAATGGTCCAAAATTTGTGTTTTCTTGTAGTTTAACTCCAACGTCAATTTTAGTCATATTCAGAATAGCCCTTAATGCTAAGCTTTACTCATGGATACCTAAAGCTTTCATACAAATTAATCTAGAGACAGTCCTAAACAGAACAGGTATTAAGTTCCTAATGGTATTCCTCAAACTAATGGAATAAATTGAAATGCTAGAAATGTTGCTGCTAATTTTATTGAATTAGTAATCTCTCTGAAACTCTCTGACTTGGTCTGAAGAAATTAGAAAATTTACATTCTTATTCTTCGATACAGAGCAAGATAAAGTAAGCACATGATTTCCTCAGTATTTTCAAGCTACTTATAATATGTAAGATACATACCAATATCTTCTCCAGGCTCTGACAGGCCTCCTGGAAACTTCCACATATTTTTCATCTGCAACATCAAGCAGAAAAAAATGTAGCATTTGTTCAGTAACACACAGACGCACACACCTGCAGGTGCCAAAACACCCAGCGCTGTCCAGGCAATGAGAACTCACTTTTTCCAGTTTCCTGTTCCTCTCCTTCCCTCCTTTGCTGAGGAGCTAGTGAGTTATGAAATCTTTCTCCACCTTTTTCTTCAGGAAATAGAAGTAATTTTATTTGGTTAATGTGATAAAATTTGTATTAATGAAACTTTGGAGGGAAATATCTACTGCATTTGTATAACTTAAATTTCGCTGCTAGTTAACTATGAACAAATAGGAGAATCTTACAGATGCTGCTATAATTAAGTAGAAAGCACAGAATAAATGTAATCACTAAAGGATGCTATTAATTTTCATATCTATTTACTGTATTGTATTTCTAATCAGACATACTACTCTTAAGATTCTGTTGTCTACATCAACAATTTTATGTAAAAATGTAATTGCTTTTCATGGGTAGTATGAATAAAATTGATCAGTTTGTGTTTTCTGTCTATTATTTCTTTGTGTTTTCCCAGAACACTGCTTTTTCTGGTGGGGAGGGGCAGGTAGGAAGCTCTGACCATTGGGATAGCATAGAGTAACTTAGRAATAGACCACAGGTGATTATGAGATGGCATGACAGTGTTCCTGTGGCTGTCAGGATTGCTGTTTCCTTTCAGAGCTCTGTTCTATGTATCCATCCCCACAAGGAAGCTGAAGAAGGGCCAGCACTCTGCAGACTCTTCACGCACAGAAGCTGTGGCCCTCCTGCTGGCGAGCTTGGTGGCCCACGCATTTCCTGAGGAGAGCTTCCCCAGGATGTGTCACTTCCTAATCATGCCAGCTTGGACACCAGTGGCAAGGTTTCCGGGGCTTCCCAGGCTGCTGGTTAAGTGGGTGCAGCGTTCAGGCCGCCCACCTTTCCGCATCTGGCTCAGGCAGGCTCAGTGTTGGTTTACAAAGTAAATTATGCTTCACTTTATTAGTGCAGAGAATCCATCTCCGAGTCTCTACTTCAGTACACTGTCCTGGATTCCACTTCAAAATAGTTTCAGCAGCTTTGCTTCTGTAGAAACTTCACAAGCTTTTGTCTGACCACCAACATAAATTCTATCTGCAGCAGCAAAACATGTTATGACTGGGTAGACAAATGTTTAAAAGAACAATAAAAGTCAACTTTCAAAATCTTTGCCTAGACTTGACTATAAATGATTGGAGACTCTATCATATTTGGAGATAGAAACTTGTCAGAAGGGGGAAAATGCTGGACAGAAGGATTGAAAACAGTTCACACAAATCTGATTTTTAAATAAGGCTTCAGTATGGAAAGATCAGGTATATTTTATGCTGGTAAATAGGTGTGACATTTCCTGATATCACTTAGGTTTAAAGAGCTTATTTTAAAAAGTTTCCTTCTCCCAAAGTCTGGGTTTTTGAGCCTGGGGTCTAAGTGGTGGGTGGAGAGGCCCGAGTCATGTGGTTTTAAAATGATTGAGCAATAGCAAGGCAGGCAGATCTTCCCATTCTCTTTATATTAAAACACTCAACAGGGTTAGTAATGTTAAAATAATGCTAAAATATTAGCTAGTGTGTACTGAATGCTTACCATGTTCTAGATACTCTGCTAAATGTTCTTGTAAGAATTAACACATCTAAACTGCACAGAAATCCAACAAGAGTCTGTTATTCCCAATTTAGAGGTGATAAAGATTAGTCACTGGTCTGGAGTCACAGCTAGTGTGGGTTCAAGTCCAGGCAATTTGATTCTAACCATTTCTTTTAAGAAATTTGAAAAGCTGATTTGAGACTTCTCACTAATACTTAGCTATGTGATTTTTCATATACCTCTGGTCTTCTCCTCATACTAACTGGAATATTTTGTGTACATCCAATCAAAATCTATATCTTAGACCTGCACTCCCCTAGTATATGTGAATTTGGATTAAAACTGAGGGCAGTGTTGAATGTGTTACCTGTTGCCTGTGATATTACCTAGCAGTGATTTATTATTATTCTATCTTTCTAACTTCTTTCATGAGGGAAAAAAACTACTGAGGATAAGTTTGGAAGATTTAGTCTCCTTGAATTGGCTACATTTTAAATCTTTGTTCTCTTTTCCTATACAAAACATCTCTAGGTTCCAAGTATAAAATTCTACTGTACTTAATTCCCTGATCGTCATAAAAGAACTTTCCACTCTTTTAAAAGAAATGTTTTTCTCAAATGTTCTCGTGCCTAGACGCTCTGTTTGAACTACTCAATCTTCACAACTGTGACCCCCTCCCTGCTTTAGGTTGGTGAGGTCATCTAGGTCCTTAAGCATACCAGAAAAGGTAAATTATCTTTTAAAACTTATCAAAATGTATGATTTCAAACAATACTAGAGTAGTTCTGTCATAATTTGGAATGGTGGTAGGAGGACAAATTTTCTTATGCATTTGCTAGTTACAAATCTGATGTGTCAGGCTGGGATTGTGGCTCAGTGGTAGCGCACTTGCCTAGCATGTGTGAGGCACTGGGTTCGATTTTCAGCACCACATATAAGTGAGTAAAATAAAGGTCCATCAACAATATATAAAAATTTGATGTGTGTATGGAAAACAGAAGACTGTAGGAGAGGTAAGGATGATTTCCTGGATTCCTTTGCAATCCTCCCCTGCCTAGAGTCAGTAATTGCAAGTTCAGGAACTAGGCATTTCAGGTGTTGACAAAAGGCACTCTGCTAATACATTTTTCACTGATACTAACAGAAGGTTAGATACTTTCTCTGCAATTTCAAATTTAAGAGTGCTGTTTCTTTTACATTTGTCCTGAAGATAAACTCAAATCTATTTTAAGGTTTTTAGGATAGGTGAAAGAGCATGATTCATTTTCTGATCCCTTTTTCTCACTAGTTTCTTAATTCCATAGACATTTTCTGTTTTCCTGAGCAGAGGCTTAGCTTTAGGACATTGTTCCCTGGATATGGTTCCTGAAATCCTAACCAGGAGTTTCTGTAACAACAACCCCAAAGACTACTAATTTCTTTGTTTCTTTTTTCTTGGTATAGGGGAATCAGACCCAGGGCATTGCACACGAGCCTCTACCACTGAGCTATAACCCCAACCCTTTAATAAAAAAAATTTCTTTTGAGACAGGGTGTTGCAGTGTTGTACAGGCTGGTCTTGAACTTGAGATCCTCCTGCCCCAAGTCCCGGTAGCTAGGATTACAGCAATGCACCGCCGTGCCTGGTTTACTACAGCCATGCACTGCCGTGCCTGGTTTACTAATTTCTTTCAGTCATCTCAAGAACCTGGAACAAGGGCACAGACTTGCTTGCCTCTTTCCTTTGGTTCTCTTGTATTATTTTAACTTCTTGTTCTGCCTTTATTCCTACCTGGCTAGATACCAGAAATCTGGTTATCTTTTATCACCACTGTCTAATCTTGACTCCACCATACTCACTTTCTAGGATTTGAACCTGGTGTATTGAGATTAATCTCATTATCTACAATATTATAATCACCAATGACTTGGAAGCTACCATCAAATCTCTCATAGTTTGGCTGATTCATTCAACAAAAATTTTGAGTGCCAGCTGCTAGGTGTACAGAAACTAATGTATAATATTGCAAACTGGTCATTCTCTTTATCACTGCTCTGTTTATTTTTTGAGTAACACATCTCCATCTTATGTATTCATTTTATTATTTGTATCAATGTATTTGACTGTTAGCTCCAGATGTAGAAACTCTGCATTGTTTACTAATTTATGCCCAGTGCTTAAAAGGTCATACAGCACAGTATGAAAAGGAACCCAGTAATATTTAATAAATCAATGAATAGGCCCCTAACCTGAACACAGTTTGTTAGCACTTGTTAGCATTTGTAAGGTCAAGCCACTGGTAGATCTTTTTATTACTCAAAGCCATGGGGTTAGGAAGGAGAAAGGACACACTTTAAATGTCCCGTTAGGTCTGTGTTTTGAGTGTGTGCATATAATCATTCTGAGGGTACATTTTTTCTATAAAAAACACTTCACAGGCCTAGGATGTAGGTTAGTGGTACAGCACTTCCCTAGCATGTGCAAAGTCCAGACTCAAACCCTAGTACCACACACACATGCTTTTAAAAACAAAACAAAAAACTATAAAGGAGAAAACTGGCTTGAATGTCTGAAAATAATTCTAATTATTTATAATATATAAAATTTATTAATAAGTACTTGTTCAATTATGTTTAAATTCCATCTAATGCCAAAATACAGTAAATGATTCCTTTTCTCACTATTTTTGCTGCTAAAATAGACACCCATACTTCATTTGCATATTTTGTTCTTAAATGGATCACTGCTTATAACTTAAAAAAAATCAAAACTCTATTTAAAATTATCATTCCTACTTACTCTGCAAAGAAACCACTATTATAACACAATTTCAATCTGCCTAGCTTCTACCAGTGCCAATGTCCTATGAATGTGGGGGGAACGTGAAAACCTGACTAAATCTGAAGCAGCACTTTCTCAAACCGATGACTGGCAGGTCTGAACACCAGCAGAATTTGGAAGCCCAAGTTGCTAGCTCAGCTGCTCTCAGACTTCACAGCACAAGCACCTGGAGGCTGACTGCTGGGCTCCCCCCTGCAGAGCAGCAGAGTCCACAGGTGGGGTCTTCTGTCAGTACCCAGCCTGCCCTTCCGTACCTGCTTCGTGATGCTGGCACAGGGCCTCTGTTAACCAGTCTCTGCACTGCCAGCTGACTCCCTTTCAGGCTCCACCAACAAACTCCAAGTCTGGAGAAGGGTGACGGTTATTTCCTGTACTCTCCTGTGCTGTGGTTCCTGGGCGCACCATTCCTGCAGTCTGCTTTGCTGCCAGCAGTTCTTTCCTAGTATCAGCAAAATCCAGTTTGCAGTTTTCCTCACATCTGGCAGACACCAGGACTGGGTAAAGTAGCACTTCCTGTGAGGGATTTTGAGTTTGGGTGATGTGTCTTCCCAAATGGAGGGAACCACAACCCACCAGAATGACATAAGTTACATTGAAGACATCTGAGATACAGCAGATGGCAAATGAGACATTTTCTGACCTTCCTTTATCCTATTAAAGGCAGAGGTTTCTGAGAATGAAGCTGCTATTAATCCAGGGTGTGTAGAGTAGAGGGATCTTGGGGGAGAGGTGGGAGCTTTCAGCTAGGCATTAGGCTGATCATTAATTAGCACCTAGAGGAGGAACTGCAGTAAAAAACTATCAGAAGCTGGCTGCCATACCTTGCATGTGTCCCTAGGAGTGCTATCCCTTTCTCTTATTATGTTGACATATAAATCCTTACCCTGTGGAACTCTGCTCTGTTAATCTAGTTGTCAATTAACTTGCATCAGTACCACCACTGGCAAACAGAGTTCCCAATTCAACTCTATGACTTCACCTCTCTCATGGAGTTTTCAAGGTTGCAGATGGTGATAATAATAGATTGTTATGATGGTAACTTTGATCAGTACTTTGATTAGTAAGGAGTATACAGGCTGGCGTAAAACTGGAAAGCATTCACTGAATGCTAAATGCTCTTCCTGAAAACAAAATCCAGTTTCTTAATGCATTAAATTTTCTAAGAAGTTGCCTCTTCATGACTCTTAGATTATAACATTTAATTCTAAGTTCATTTTACATTTGGATCAATTTTTGTCATCTGAAAGGAAATAAAGATAACTGTCATATGTATATGCGTGTTTATACATCTCTCACACACACACACATGGTCACGTCATTTATTTACCCTTCTACGTGCTGTCATACTGGACAATCTTGAGTACTCCAGACTAGTAACTGGGTATGGAAGGAGAGAGATTTATCACTCTTACATGAATGATTAATTTTAGACTTTGCCTAACCTTTCTTTATTTAGTTTTTTCCAAAGATAACCTAATTCCAAGTTAGATTAGAATCTTGGTTCCACTACATTATCTATGTATTTTTTGGCAAAATACTTAGTCTCTGTGACTTGGTTTCTTCATCTGTAAGATGGGAATAAAACCCCTCATGGGTTGTTGTGAAATACTCAAGTCTTCAACTAAAGATGCGGCAAACATAAAATGATGCAATGGGACATTCCTYGGCTGTTCAAATGCAGCTACACACAAAGAAAAATCAGAGCAATAAGAATCATATATTCACCTGTATGGAGAACTACATTTTTCCTTAAATGATACATTCATGTGCTAAAATAGAGTACGTTTATATAATTAGTAAATTTCATTCCAAAACATAATTAAAGATACTAGGAATAAGACAACTCATTTCTCTCCCTATGTATGTGCCATAAATGTTAATTTTAGTTACTAAGTGAGGCACTTTGCACATAACTAAAGTTTAACATCTTCTAAAATAACCAAGTAAAAATTCCCTGTTAAAAGACACACTCCAGAATTATACCAGACAAAAAAAGTCTTTTGGTGTTTAACCTTCCTTTCCTAATATGATGTCCAACAAATCCTTACTTCCAAATAATTTATTTCAAAAAATGGTGAGCCAACTTAGATCCAGACAGTTGAATTCACTGTCATCTCCACGCTGAACTCTCCTAATCTCTCTGGCCCGTGAGAGTGAACTGATGTATTGTTGTTCATACTTTTCACCCACTTCATCCTGCACTGACAACTATTCTTAACAGACAATCCCTAGAATCAACCCTTCACCTGCGTTTAGAACACAGAACTCTGTTCAGCTTTTTGTGCAGTGCTTCTTGTGGGCCACATTCAAGCTACATCATGGCATGACTCCTCAGGGCACGATTACATAGGGTATAAGAGCTGGAACTGCAGCCACAGGAAGTCATAATAAATTCCCTACAAGCTTATTTAAGGACAGGCAGTGCAACCCCAGCCCGCACACCAATATTTTCCTGTATCCAGTCCCGTGGGTGAGGGCCACTGCCTGGAGTTTCAAAGTACTTATGGGTTATGACAGTGGAAGTTGTAAAGAATAAGGAATACCTCTTTTTGGTACCATAAGAACCTAGAGAATTGACACCCAACATCTGTTCTGTCCTCAGTAATTCATCAGGAGGAATGAGAAGAAATGTGTGGGTACTTCAATTTAAATATCTTTTAAAATTCAACCAAATATGCCCTTTAGTGAATTCATCATTTTTCTTCCCAATACCCCCTGAATCTGCTGATGATACCGTTATTCCAGCATCTCCTCCCAGCTCAAAATACTGAATGATTTAAAACTTATTCCTTTTCTTAACAAAGTCATGGTCACCAGTTCCTAGAAACATCTCTCCTCCTCCTTCATATCACCATCTTGGTGTAAGCCTTCCTTCTGCTCATCTTAATGACTAAAGCAGTGGCTTCACTGGCCTCTCTGGCTGTATCTCTGTTTGCATCCTCACACATCCTGTGGATTAATAAGCATCAGTAATCACATTTTATTAACATATTTGTCCTTACTGAACACAAAAGAAACCTACAAACTATACTCATAATCACCAGGGATTGATCAAAACTCCTGAGCAAATAAAGTGCCTATGAAAATGTTTTTAAAAATAAGCATATAAATATCATTTTCAGTAATATGCTTTGTAACACAGCATATTGTTTCATGCCTAAAGTCTGTGCAATGGGACCACCTTATTGTTAACTAACAATACTCAGCTTATTATTATTATTATTATTATTATTTTTTTTTTTGGTACTGGGGATTGAACCCAGTGGCACTGAACCACTGAGCCACATCTCTGGCCCTCTTTTGTATTTTATTTAGAGATGGGGTCTTATTGAGTTGCTTAGGGCCTTGTTAAGTTGCTGAGGCTGGCTTTGAACTCAAGATCCTCCTGCCTCAGCCTTCCTAGCTGCTGGGATTATAGGCATGTGCACTGTGCCCAGCTCAGCTTAAATTGTCTTTCAGGGAGATATCAGATCTACTATTAAAAAGACCCAGATTCTGTTAGAGTATACTGATATAATACATGATAGATCTCAGGAAAAGAAAAGTATCTTTGGTAACATGAGCCTGAGTCCATATGACGCTATTATCTTTATATTTTCATGTCTAAGGTGATCATAAGGTAGACTGGACTTGAAATACATCTAAATGGGGTAGGAACAGAAGAGGAATACCATAAGACTACTGTAGATGTTATACATAAATTCAGGCTCTCTTGATAGGATTAAAACCAAGGGCATCATTTCTGGACTTCTTTCATGTAACATTATTTTAGGTCTGTTTTCCTTATTTTTAGCCCACATGGTTGAATACAAAACAGCCAACTATAATTTAAAATTTGATAAAATTTTGAAGAAATAAAACCCTGATTGCATAGTTCAATAGCTGTCACCTCCATGCTGAATCTCCTAATCTTTCTGGCCCGGGGAGAGTGAACTGATGAGTGATGAGTGAACTGAAGCCTAAGCATAGGACAGGCAATCTAGCAAAACTCGACAAGTGCCTGCAAGAAGCTGGAACATGGGCTGGGCTGGGGCTCAGTAGGGAGCGCTTGCCTTGCAGATGTGAGGCCCTGGGTTCCATCCTCAGCACCACATAAAAATAAATAAATAAAATAAAGGTATTGTGTCCATCTACAACTAAAATAAAACACTAAAAAAAGAGAAGCTGGAGCATCAGACTGCCTTAGGACAAGGACCTTGTCTGCTCATCATATGGCAGGCAGATCTGCTAGGTGGAAAGGGGTTCCAAAATGGTCAGACAATACAATTTCCCTTTTTATTTAGTATAGATGAAGTATTTTTCCACATCTGGTTTCATTTGTGCTAAGTAGTTGAAACTTTAGTTTACTGGAAGTGAACTTTAAAATAATAATTTAAAAATAATATTTTTAAAGGAAATATCAGATAATGGTTCTGTTTTTTTGTTTTGATTACATAGAAAAAACTTAAATATGTATCATCCATTAATTAAATAATCATATTATGGTGACAAGAGGTAAAGACAAAAGATTTAAGCAAAGAAAACCCATGGAAATTTTAAAAGTTCATCAATAGCTTAGTAATTCAGTGGTCTGCTTATGTCATGTATGTATAATTTATACATGGATCACAAATAATTTTAGATCATTTCAAATCTTGACCTTATTCTAAGGTACATTTTATAAACCAGTTTCTGAGAATAATCTRTTATGTATTTGTCATTTCTACCATATCTCAGAGGTGGCTATCATTTATTCAATGTGAAATGTAAAAGAACTACAAAACACCTTAAATTCTTTTTTTTGGCCTTTTGTTACTCAAAGAAGCTTCCTTTTCTAGTGCACCTTTCTGACTCCATGCTTGTGCCTTCAACACTTTGGCAGCCATTTCTGGTTCCGTATGGAAAGCGGAAAGCGTACCTGCTCCTGCCAGACACATTCAGCACACAAGGAGCCACTACAGGCCCTGCTGATGCTAGTTCCACAGCGGCTGTTGGGAGGGAAGGAAGAGAGCCCACCATACTGTGTCAGCTGCTGGGCCCTCCCATTGCCCCTGGATGCTGTGCCCCGAGGAGGCAAGATACTTCACACTCTAGTAATTTTTCCTGATTTGGAAGTATTTCTAACTGTATTTAGAAGTATTTCTAACTTTATTTGGAATTATTAATGATACAAATAACTCCTTAAAAAATGCAACTTAATTTTGAAAAATTCAACAACAGAAAAATCATGACCTCCAATGGTTGGATACCCAATGGTTACTGGTGAAGTACAATCCTTAATAAAGGAAGACTCTCTCAAGTGTATACAGGACTTGCATCTATTTCAGTCATTAGCTATTTCTGTGAATAGACATCTTTACTTATTAATACCATTCTTGCCAAAAAATAGCTCTTTCTTGTCATACAAATAAAAAAAGAAAACAAATACTGTGCTCAGCATTCTACTGTGTACTGCTATAAATATAAACTGATACAAATGAGAGAACAAATCATTAAACTGTGATAAGGTCACTCTGCCCAGCGTAGTTTTCCATTGCTGTGCATTTCCTTCTTCATTCTCTCAAGTACTAGGAAGGGATTCAATGGAAAGAACAGAGCAGATAGTTAACAAATCCCTTCCCCAGGAAAGTATGAGGTCTAGATTTGAAAGATGAGAAAATGGGCATGGAGACTTGCCCAGGGGCAGGTTGTCATCCTTACACCAAGTCTGCTGTTTACATCCCCTCCCCTCACCTGGCATGCTACTGCTGGGCTAATTTGAAGGTTATTGTTGCATTACCCTCCCCCTATTTAATCACCACCACTTTATCACCATGACTGCAATCTGTACATGATTAACTGTTTACATTTAAATCTAAACCCCAGGCACCCTTAAAACTAGGCCCTCCTGGTCCCATTTAGTCGTTCTCACCAAATATATGTGTTTTTCCCCCAATTTAAATACAAAATCTATTGAGAGCTAGACAATGACGTTAGGTCTCTATAAATTTTTGTTGATAATAAGATGCTTTAATTGAGTCACAGATTCTGCCTTAATTTAAACCTCTAAAGTTCCTTATTTAAGAATGACTTTAAGATAGCATTTCTGAGAAAATGAACTGATTTCAGCCATTGTTACAAATAATTTAAATTTTAAAAACATATAGGGAAATATTTTGATTCTGTTTATTGATATTTACTTAAGTCTCAGAAAGTATTAAGTAACTATTCTTTCTCACTCTGAGTTGTAACTTCTGGGAGAAAAATCCAGTTTCTACTCATGACACTGCTCTCCTTAGTGTCTAGCTGCCTAGACCTATTTTGGTATGAGGTACTTCGTATTTGTTCCCAGCCTGGTTCTCAGGTCAAGAATCTTAACACTCCTATATTCCCGACCTCTGTGAACTCTTACTATTATTCCCACACCATGCCAGTCCCTTCGTGAACTCTTTACACATTCAATTCTAACGTTCTCAGCTTGCTTTTCTACCCCCTTTTAAAACCAGTTCATCACCTTCTACTCATTCTCCTAGACTTGTTTTAAGTGTCACCCCTTCTGAAAAGTCTTCAGTCAAAGTTAACTATAATTATCTGCTCTATGACTGCCTGTCCAAATAAACAGTAAGCTGAAGGGCATCAGGGAGAGCGTCTTACAAATCACTGTACTCTCAACACCTGGCACAGAGTGGAACACACCTGAATGCATGGAAGAATGTCTAACCCAGGGCCTCTACCACTGACCTATATCTTTTTTTTGTTTTTTGGTACTGGGGATGACCCAGGGGCACTTGACCACTGAGCCACATCCCCAGCCACATTTTGTATTTTATTTAGAGACAGGGTCTCACTGAGTTGCTTAAGGCCTTGCTAAATTGCTGAGGCTGGTTTTGAATTCAAGATCCTCTTGCCTCAGCTCTGGAGCTGCTGGGATTACAGGTGTGCATAACTGTGCCCGGCTTGTATAAGTACTTCTTGATCTTATATTTAAATATTTATAAATATTTAAATGATCCATAACTAGTTAAAAATATTTTTTTTTTTGTGAAGTTGTAACTGGGAATACTCTGCCACTGAGCTTTATCTCCAGCACTTTAAAAAGTTTTTTAAAAAAATTTTTGAGAAAAGGTCTCACTAAATTGCTGAGGGTCTCACCAAGTTGTTGAGATTGACCTCAAATTTATGGTCCTCCTGCCTCAGCCTTCTGAGTTCTAGTACTTTTTGATTGGAAAAAAATATCAAAATGATCCATAATTTCTTAGAAATAACTTCTAGATTCTATAATTCCTTAAATTATAAATTCCTTTAAGTTTCTACAATTTCTTAGGCATGTCAAAATTTTTACATTTTCCAAACATTTGGAAAGCATTTATAATGCAGGAGCAACTTACTTTATTTCGATCTTGTACGACCAATATTTTTCTAGTACTCTCATCAAATACAGCTCCTGTTAGGAGAAACAATAAATGATAATCAAGAAATATTAATTTCATTCTCTTAGACTCCTCCCATACTTATCTGTGGTCATCAAAATCCTACCCATGCTTGAAGGCCTAGTTCAGATATCATCTCATCCATGAAGACTTGTAAATCTCCTGAGCAAGGAATTGATTGTTCAGTAGTTATTTTTAGTTCTAGTATATACCAAGTTGTAGCATAACATCTGCTTAAGCTTCTCTAGATTGTCTATTTCTCTTGGTACACAATCTTTCTATCCTTTCACGGCATTTTTTTTATAGTGTTCAGATAATTTTAAGTGCCTGTTGCAGTCCATTGGCATCTATAATAAACTACCACAAACTGGTGGCTTATCATAACACGATTTTCTTATAGTTCTATAAGTTGAGAAGTTCAAGACTGAGGTCCTGGCAGGCTCAGTGTCTGGAGAAGGCCCACTCCTTAGTGTCTTCTAGCTATGTCCTCACACAGTGGAAGGGCAAACAAACTCCCTTAGGCCTCCTTCATGAGGGATTGGATCCCACTGCCCAAAGGCCTCCCCTCTTCACAGCCTCACACTGAGGATTAGGCTTCAGTGTGTGGATTTGGGAAGAGAGATATTCAGAGCATGCAGTTAAAAGTGTTCACTGAATAAATGCATTTGCTTTTTCATTCTTTCTTGAATCACTGCATAGAACACAGGCCTCTGACCCCTAATAATCCAAATCCTAGTATCTTAGTATTCAGTTCAGGACCTTTCTGAAGCTAATTGTACACAACTTTTTAACATATAACACAAATATTTCTTTTTGTAGTTTAAAGTTCTAATCCATTTATTTCATTTACTCATTAATTATACACATTACTTAGTGCACTATAGATTATGCTAGCATTTATCTTTGAGCAATCCTGGGTCAAAAATATAAATAACAGTCTAATGATCTTTATTAGGTTCCTTTAAATGGGATAACATAAACATTTGTTTATGTGGTAAGATATTTTCCACATATTCAGCCATTCTTTCAATATTGAGTCCTTATACACAACATATGGTAACAAATGCTATGTAGAGATGAAATATTAAAGGGAATAGGTATTTTTAACACAAGGAAAACTGAAATGAAACACCACTTAGTGTTTTAAAACAACAGTAAAACCAAATGAGGTGTAATTAATGATGATGGATTCTATTATAAAATTTAGACTATGATGAAATTGGACTTTCCAAGGGATAGCATGCAAGGAAACCTACTCTTAAAGTATAAAAATTTGTGATTAGCCACCTTGAACTTTCCCCTAATGAATTCACTAGTAACAGGAGCACAGAACCAGTACACACAACTTGAGTGACCCCTGCTGGCCACAGCACAAGAGCTAAATCAATCCTAGGTCAGAGATCAAGTGGAAATTCCCAGCTTATGGCCAGAGACTGTGCTTATTGCTTTGTGTGCATTATTGTCTAGGGTGCTCATCAAAAGAATCCGCTGAACATCCTGAGTACCTGAGTTCATGCAGCCTAGAGGGAGAGTGGAGCCTGGCAGCCAGTCTGGGCTCCAAGTAGGCACTCTTTTTTTTTTTTTTTTTTAAATTGGCTTAATTTATTTTTAAGTTGGACACAATACCTTTACTTTATTTGATTATTTTAATGTGATGCTGAGGATCAAACCCAGGGCCTCCCATGTGCTAGGTGGGCACTCTACCTATGAACCACAAACCAAGCCCCCCAAGTAGGCACTCTTTAAAGTACGATATGGCACTCCAAGGGCTCATTTCCACTTGAAGGTTTGACATTCACTCAAGAAATCCTGGGTGTCTGCTTTAGGCCAGACTATCTTTGCTTGAGGATACAGTGGTGAAGGAGACTTAAAATACCCACCTTCATGGAGTTGATATTATTGTAGGGATAGGATTGCCACTTGTGTTATGTGCAATAAAGACAGGTGGCTCTAGATAAAGGGACAAAGGCTGATAGGATTGGTGTGCAGGAGAACCCCGTTTTAGACAGGAGGGTCAGGAGCTTTTCTGAGGAGGAGACACTTGTGCAGAACCGTCAACTGTCAAGAACTGGACAAAGCTCTGAGGAAGCACATTGCAGGGGAAGAAACCAGTAGATGCCAGGCTAGTAGGTGCTGGCTTGTGAGGGTAATTAACCAGGGAAGAAGCCACAGCTCACTCTGGTCCAGCCATACTATGAGCAACCTTCTGTCCTTCTGTTGCTCATAATAACATCGACTATTTTCTCTCCACCTAAAAATCTCTGCATTAGATTGTTCCTATCCCTAAGAGCCCCCTCTGATCCTAGTTATCCTTCACTACTGGTCAAGTTCCACATCTCCCATTCTTGAAGTCCTCTAGAACTCCTAATACAATACTTACTTATAAACTCTCATKGAATACTCTTAGTGTATATATCACCAATTCTATGGTAATGATTGCAAACTCAATCAGAAATCCATGACAATGAATGAGAGTTATTTCTATGACTTTCCAATGAAGTGTGAGGCTGTCACCCAATTATCAAGTACAATCGTTTGTAATGAAGCTGAATGGAAAGCTTAAGACTTCAGATACAGAAGACATTACTAGACTTCTTGAATAACTCCTTTAAAACACTTCTTATTTGCAAAATAGCTTTAAAACTCTTGTAAATTATATAAAATTGCTAATTAAAATTATTAATAAATTACTACTTAATACATATTATTGCTTTCATTTAAGAATCTCCTTAATCCTGGTTCTCAAAGGGTGATTTTAAGACCAAAATCTGCAATAGCAGAAATAGCCACAGGAAAATTATTAGAAATGCCAATTCTTAGGTCCCACCCCAGACCTACTGAATCATCAGTCTGTCTTAATAAGCCCTCTGATTTTGATGTCTTCTACTATGTGAGTCCCTGTCTTTATTGGAAGATAGTATTCTCTCAATTTATATCTATGAAGCTAATCAGACTATGAAGTTCTACACTGTCATTAAATCATGCTATTTTAAATAATGGTTTGTCACAATAACTTAACCTAAATGTCTTTAAGAAGTAATATTCAATTTGGTTCTCTTTACCTTATACTCAACCTAAGCTATATTTTACTGTACAGATTCGTATGTTTAGTACTAATATGTGTGATAAGAACATGAAAATTGTCAGAATCAAAATAGATTCACTGTGGTAAACCTAACCAAAAAAAGAAAAAGTGAATAAGGCTGGGAGGTTATGAAGGGCTGGTCGTACAGGAGGCCTGATGGTAATCATCACAACATTCTGCCATAACCACAGCTTTCAGAGGCCACCGCGATAACATAAAAAAATACCTCTATGAGGACATCTGCCCTGAAACTGTTTGTTCAACTTCAGACTGCTGTACTTTTATTATTAATCACTGTGGCCCAGTGATAAACATTTCCAAATACCTGCTGAAATTCTACTCACATCTGTCTCTCAAATTTTGTCCTGGCCTCAACTTCTTTGAACACACTCATAGTTTACCATGGTACCTGTATTCCCATTGCAATACTCGGCTATTTCTAAATAAATTTCATCCTTTAGAGACTCTGATTGTTTTGTTTATTTAAGTTGAGTGAATTTATTTCCTGATTCCAAGTCATGCCACTGTTTGAGAACAGGTTTGGAATTCAGCTCTCAATGTGCCAGTTCTTTGTGATGCCCTCTGCTGATCTGTAAAGCAACTTCCATTTATTTAAAAGCTCTGCAACAGTTTCAGGAAGATAATCACTGAACAAAATCATTCATCAAAGAAAGAAACTGGGTTAACCTTAAGGAACTTTAAAAAGTGAACTCTAGTGGCCATGAGTTCGAAACTGACCTGCGACTCCTACTTGATGTGTGGCATACACTGGTAATCTGCTGGGCCCTTCTCCCAGCCACAGGGTCAGCGTTGATGAGTCCGATTCTGCATGGTGAAAGCGGAAGCCCAGGGAAGCAGCAGGGGCAATAAATCGGCTTTGGAGGATGGGAATATGCAGCCAGACGGCTATTTTACCTTCTGATTGCCACTCATGTATTGCAGCTAAAATGTAGAAGATAAGAATCTGTAAACATTTTACAGTGAGAGAAATGGGATAAACTAAAACTGGGCTCAGGGTGTCACTTCCTCCAGAAAGCCATCTTTAGGGATGTACTTCCTCATGATTAGCTTTCTGGAGAGACCCCAAAATGTCCTGTTCACATCACCATCGTGGCTACTACCATGTTTTCCATAATTACCACACTATTTATATGATTTTCTACCAGATCAAAATCCTTGAGAACACAGTGCTGATCTTCACATCCATACCGGCTGAAGACAATATTTGGCACATAACAGGTGTTGTTAATTGCAGAATAGACAAATAAACTGATTTAAACAAAATGGAATACAATTTTAATGCTGTTTCTTTCTCTGTTTTGTGATGCTGGAGATCCAGCCCTGGGCTTCATGTGGGATAAGTGTTCCACTACCAAGCTACATCACCAGCCAATGGTTTCTTTTAACACCCTTAGTCTTGATCTTTATTAAGGACTTTTACTTGCACTTAGAGTTGTGCCATAATTATTTTTGGTTTATCAATTTCAAGGTGGTCAAAAGTATATAATTATTTTAAAATAATTATGCTAGTTCTAGAAAATCTTGAAAATAAAGATAATGAATTAACCTTAATGTTTTACTAGTTTGAAAATATCTAAAATTTTTTGTTTTCATGAATTTTTTAAGTAACATCATATTACTCACAGCTTATATCATGTCTTTCACAACATATGTTAAACATTCTGGGGTAAGTTACCAAGATTTTTTGAATGAATATAAATTTCTAATAACTCCAAGTTTTCCATATGTAGGTATTCATAAGCTTCTTAACCAACCTTCTAGTCATAGACATTTCTAATTTTGTTATAAAAAATTCCCCAATGAACATGATAGGTTTTGTCTTTTGAGTTTTTAAAAAGTTTCTTACTTCATTACATAAGATTAAGCCAGGGGATAAAAATGCCAATTCATTTAACCTTGCTAAGTTTCAGATGCTTTACAACATTATTTAAGTACTTACAACCATGAAAGACAAAGGCAGGGGTGAAGAAAGGAATACTTCACAATTTTAGAGATTTGAGAACCCTTTCCGGTCACTTTGCCTATGCGTCATCTCACTTGCTTTTGGCCCCAACCCTGAAGCATGGGTCTTGGGAGGCTTGAGTACCTGTTCTGGGAACTTTTCCCTCTCTTCTCTTCCTCAGCTCTGTAGCAAGCTCCTCCAAGYCAAGGACCATGCTGTATGCCCCTCTCGAAAGTTGGTGTGCCCAGAACAGTGCCTTTAACAGATTTGGCCTGACTTAGCATGCTGTGAGGCCATGGGATCAGATCCTTCTGACCTTTTCTCTGATTAAATCTTTAAAAAACAGAGGTCTAATTAAARCAATGTGCAGAAATCTTAAGAGTTGATTAGTTTTTTTTTAATATTTATTTTTTAGTTGTAGTTGGACACAATACCTTTATTTTATRTGGTGCTGAGGATTGAACCCAGGGCTCACATTAGGCACAAGCTCTACCGCTGCGACACAACCTCCAGTTGATGAGCTTTGACATGTATATACACCCATAACCAACACTTGATGATTGCAGTCAGGAATTCCCATGTATTTCTTCCCAATCTTTCAGAGTAAATGAAAAAGGTTTTGCAAAAGCACTGCTATTTGCTGCTGTGTTGCATCTTATACTCTTTGGCACAAGGCTAGTGCCTAGTCCTGACTTCACTTAACTGTCAGCTCTCTAGCTGCTCTCAGACATTTCCTGAAGACTGCCACTTCAAAACTTCTCAAAGTACTTTCAAAACGGAATACTACAGTCCCAAACTAGCTTTATATATCAGTTTGTTTRTTTCTGGCATCAATACTTGAAGTCTCAGACTCACTTTTTAATTCTTTCCTTTTCTCAAACTTCAGTGATTTTTTTCCTTCCACTACCACCTTTCATCCCCATGGCTTATATCTGTCCCTCAAAGTCCAGCTCATAAAAGTCCACCTCTTGAGGGCTGGAGTTGTGGCTCAGTGATAGAGCGCTTCTCAGCACCACATATAAATAATTAAATAAATAAAAAGGTCCATCAATAACTAATAAAAATATTTAAGAAAAAAAGTCTATGTCTTGAACAAAAATCTTTCCTAAACCATGTACAAATGCTATTATGTGAACTTAAAGAGTACTAACCATGTGAGGATGATTAGAACTCATCCCGAGTTACCTGATGACATTTCTTTCTCACCCTACTTAATATTCTATATAGTTGAAATCCAGGTTAGCGCCATATTATGCACCAGTACTCAATCTCTATTTATTAAATAACTGGTTGCCTAAGGTGGCACAGCTACTCAGTGGCATAGAAAGACCAGAAACACCCTTGCAGCTTATTATCTGTGTTATAATTACCATCTAACTTTTGAGTTGTCAATAAAACAGGAACACAAAAAGAATGGTGGACTTCTATGTGTGAACAGCTTAACAACTTTTACTGATGTTATTCTAATGAGTTCAACTTATTTGAAAAGAACAAAAACTTCCAATCAGGCTTTCTTCTCAGATTATTTTAGGTTCTCTCTGCAGGCACTGTCAGTTTTGTTTGACTGAATGACAACACAATGGAGTTGTAGCAGTAGGCCAGCGGGCAGCAGGGTACAGGAAGAAGAGATGTAGAGCCAGGGGAAGTTACCCTATTCTCTCCATTCCTCGGTCCCATCATTTAGAAAAAATCTTAAAAAAAACACAATTATTTATCATTCAATAAGTTATTTAATATCAACATTTAATAATTTGACTATTATTTAATGATTCCTGAATGGCACAGAATTCGTATTATCAAGATACCAAGGTTGTCCCTTCAGAACTCCTGAGTGYCCTGCACGGTGGCCTGCCTGATCACACCGTCAGTCACCGGGCGGGCACACCGCGCTGAAGCACCCTAGGGGACGCATTCTCAGCGGCAGGGCTCCTGGCAGGACCCGGGACCAAGCGCAGGACGTCACCTGCAGACCCAGGTGCCTGCCTTGCGATGCCAGCCGAGGGGTGCCTGCCGAGCGCCCCAGCGTACGCACGGAGGTCCTGGGGGGGTCAGCTTGGCGCCGGCCGGGCAGCGGGGGGGGGGGAGGTTGGCAGAGCCGCGGTCGGGAGTGCCTTCCTCGCCTGGACCTCCGTGGGGTCGACGGGACCGGCAGGACCGGCAGGGTGCCCAGGGTACCCGGCGAGCGCGGGGCTGGCGCTGCCCCACCGCCCCGGGCCGCCCCGCTGCCGCGGCCCGCGCAGACACTTGCCTCGCAGGGCGCTGCGGAAGGCGGCGGCGTCCAGGCGGTCCAGCGCGCCGCCCCGCGCCAAGCGCACCGACACGCCCCCGAACTTGTCGGGCTCTCCGCGCAGCTCGCCCGAGGGCCCAGAGGCCCTGCGGCGCCCCGCCGTCGTCCCGAGGGCCGCGCCGCGCGCCCGCGCCCACACTAGCGCCGCGCGCCAGCAGCGCCCGACCGGCCGCATCGCGTCCCGTCCCGTCGCGTCCCGTCCCGTCGCGTCCCGTCCCGTCGCGCCCCGTCCCGTCAGCCCCCGCGGCGGGTCCCGGCCGCCGCCGTAAGCCTCAGAAGAGCGCCGCCGCCGCCGAGTGGGCGGGGTCCCCGCCGCGCAAAGCCGCCCCGCGTAGGCCGCGAGTCCCGGGCTCCCCGGCGCCAGAGGGCGGGAGACGCTTCCCCATGTTGGTGGCGTTCGCTCGTTCACACCGACCGACGTTCCAGGTGAAGCGGGGGACGAAGCTCCCCTGCACCCGCTCCTTCAGGGATGCACCACGGACGCGCCGGCTCCAGCCGCCGAACCGCCCCCTCCTGGGCARCAGCGGAACCTCCGCAGCCGGGCCGCGTTCCACTCGGGGCTTTACGGCGCGGGCCGCGCGCGCCGACCTCTGCCCCGGAAGTCTTCGCTCGGCTGCGCGCACGCCCWGCCGGCTCTGCCGCCCGCCCGCCGCCCGCTCCGCTCTCCGCCCGACCGCCGCCCGCTGGCCATGACGTCCAAGAAGCACCGAAAGCGGCTGAGCCAGACCTCGGAGAGCGGGTCGCCCGCGCCTCCCGCGGCCGCCTGCGGCTCAGCGGCGGCCGGGACCCTGCTGGTGACCAGCTTCCTAGAGAAGGGTGAGGGCGCCGCGGGAGCGGGGGCCGGTCGGCCACGCGGGGTCGGGGCCGCTCCGCGCCAGGGTCCGCTCGGCGCGCCGGGGCGGCGCTCTGACGCCGGTCGCAGCCCTGCGCGGCCCCGCGGGCCTCGGAGCCGGGGTGACCCTCAGGTGCGGCGCGGCGCGAAGCCCCGGGGCGGGGTGCCAGCCCACGGCCGGCGTCCAGTGCCCAGCGTGCCCGACGCCGTGGCTTTGAACGACGCACCGGACTAAAGTGGGCTTCTGTGTGTCCGGACCCTAAGGCGGTCCTGGGGCCGGCTTCGCGGTTGCCCACTTCCCTAGGGGTCAGAGTACGCCCTCGCTGACCCGCGGCCCACCCCTGTCCTCCCTCGCTGACTCGCGGCCCACCCCTGTCCTCCCTCGCTGACTCGCGACCCACCCCTGTCCTCCCTCGCTGACCCGCGGCCACCCCTGCCCTCCCTCGCTGACCCGCGGCCCACCCCAGTCCTCCCTCGCTGACCCGCGGCCACCCCTGTCCTCCCTCGCTGACCCGGAGCCCGCCCCTTCTCCAGCTGGGCCCTTCCCGCTGACATCTTCAAACCTCTGTATTTTCTTGGGACCGCCGCTCTGATTTCTTCATTGCCAAACTAAGTGGCCTGGACTCTGCCTTCTCATGTCTCGCGCCCTCCTTGGCCTCTTCCTGCTTGACCTGTCTTTAAGTGGAAGCC